TATAAAATCCAATCCAAACAGTATTAGTACTATCTTTTCATTGTCAATTATAAGAGGGCTACCGATAAATCTTGTCATTGTTAATTATATATTTCACCACTATCTTTTCATGTTTTATGTTTGATTACTAAGCAAACTGAAACAAATAGAAAAGAGTTTTATGATTGATACCTAAGGAAACTGAAACAACTGGAAAAGCACAAAGGGAGAAAATGTAGTGAAATATACTTGATAGATTGGAAATCCTTCAAAAGAAAATTAATTTCTATTCCATGATCAAAGCTTTTGCATGAGTTAACAAACAATTTGCTGCATACAAGTCTCCAGGCATAGATAATCTTGATTCTAAATTCTGGCACAATTATATCTTACTGAAATTTGATACCATCAATGTGAAAAATGAATCATAGCAAAAAGGACAACACAGCTTTTGAATGTAATGTTCATAACATACTTTAACGAGTCATCGAACATTATGCGATCGGAATCGAACCCTAATTCTCCGTCTCCTTCAACGGAGGGGGAAAACGAGAGAGAGAGAGAGAGAGAGAGAGAGCAAGAGGGATCGGAAACGCTCGAAGAAAAGGATCCGTGCGCTACGAGGCAAAACGACAAATACGTAGTAATGTTCATAACAAACTTTAAGTCATTCAAATTTCTGGTAATATGTAGTATCATTGGAAACACTCGAATGGAAATTGAGAATTGTGTAGCTCAAAATTTACAAGATTAAAAACTAACACAGTTCCATCATCAGTACTTGGGGAAAGAGATTTTTAAAACAAGAACTCTCAGATCTTCTAAGAGTTTGAGGACTATTCATACTAAAAACAAAAGATATTAGAAGTCGGAGTTAGTATAGTAGGGTCCGGCTAAGAATAAGAAGGCAAATTATTTAGAAAGCAAGAAGAAGAAAAGAAAATTAAATTTTGAGGTCATCTTGAAAAAGGCAACTTGATCACAAAGATGGATAAAAAAAAAGACTGAAATACACGTGAAAAGAGATTCATCAGAACTAAGAGCAATAATCTTAATATGTAAAAAAGGGTAATATTATCTAGTTCAAAATTAATTACTTCAAGAAAAAGAACAAAGTACTCCGAAAATAATGACCACCTGAACAAAAGCAAATGAAATTGCTGGTGACTGAAAAACAAGAGTATTTCTATACAACTTAGCATACAGTTTTTATGACCATACATAACTAAGACTATTCTTCAGACATTTGAAATGGAAGCTTGAAGCTGTGCATTTAGCTAAGCAGAAAAAAGAAAAAGCAAGGAATAGGTCGAACACAATGGTCACAAACAAGAACAGAAGTGCCACTTTATGGACCACGGTCATTAGCACATCCCTCAGTTACATGGTTGCATTTCATTTAACATAACTAAGATGACAGACATGTAGCCAACTCCAGATAGTCTTAGTAACTTGCTGTTGTTGCTGTCATTCATTCCATGGTGGAAAATACGCATTGCAATGTTTTTGAGGTAAAAGTAACCCTTTACTTTGAGCAAAACCAAGTAAAACATATGCACAAGCTATTCGATGTAATGAAACAAGTGTATGTATTACTTGTATTTGAAAACATCTTATATCAATGGCAAACAAAATTTGCTTCTATTACACCAACAATACTCATGTTAAGAGCATGCAAAGACCCAATGCATAACTGTTCAACATCCAAGCATAATAGAAACTAGCTGACAGGTCTGACGAAGATATAAAATCTTCCTTTCATTATGAAAGAGTGATGAAGTGTTGTAGTGAACTAACCAAGCTAGGAGGCCAATGCTTGGTCTCCCTGACATACGAGAGATCAGTATAGTGAGGATCCAGAAGAGTAGCAATTGCAAACTGGTTCTCGGCCAGCAGCGCAGCATGCTTGTCAACATACAATGCTGCAGCAAGAGCTGCATGTATCTCTGCAAGTGGCAAGTTATGGATGAAGTAAAACCTTACAAAGGTCATCATTTGTTTTCACCAAAAAGAATAAAAGCCCTATCTCCAAAAAAGAGAACCTGGGTAGCCCTTTAGGGATATCGAAACATCCTCCATTTCAGCAATGGCTTCATCTCTGTCCCCGATCTCATACAGCACCAACGCCCTTCCTACTCTAGCATAGTCTGCGAAAGCAAAGTCCTTGTAATCTCTAATCACCTGGAATCACAAAGAGGCAATTTTCAGCTAAGATTTATAATGACAGATTTCAAAATTTACAAAAATAACAAACTCTGGAGAGGAATCAAGCATAAACTTGAACTCGCCAAAGCTATGAATAGATAAAAAGAAATAGATGTGAACTTTGGAATAAAAATGTACAGAAATAATGAACTTTGGAGAGGAATCAGAGAACAAAACAAGAAATAGACGTAAACTTGAACCCGCCAAAGCTATGAACAGAAGAAAATAATGAACAATATAGTCCAATTGTGGAATCAGAGAACAAAACAAGAAATAAATGTAAACTTGAGCTAGCCAAAGTGATAAATAGAAGAAAATAATGAAGTATAAAGTTCACAAAAAGAAAGAAATCACCATAGCAACCATGAACTTGGAGAACATAACAAGAACCATACGCACATGCCTAGTTACTTGATGGAACAAAATGGAAGCGTATTTTTACCAAAGTATTTGGAAAGACAAATGCATGATTTACCCAAAAAAATAATCGGTAAAGTTTGAGAGGATAAACAATACAGGAAATTGATCTCCGATGTTCCGAAGGACCAGAACATGGCATTTGGCTCCTGGAGAAAAACATAAGATCTTTACAAAAGAAACCAGCTATTATCAAGCCAAAGAATGAAACAAGAAACTATACTGGGAAGATAATGCATGATTTATTGCAAAAGATAAACCATATAGGAAATTATCGGATGCCCGAATGATCAAAAGGTGGCATATAGCTCCCGGAGAAACAGTCTGAGATTTATAGGAAAAAATGCAGCCTTAGAATCCTAACTATCACCAAGTCAGAGAATGAAACAAGAAACTACATCTTTAGCGGTTTTAGTCGATACGTCGGTAAAGAAGAATGGAGAACATAACAAGAAAGATATGGCCAATCGATAACGTATAGACGGGGAGAGAAGCGAACCAGAGTGAAGTAGTCTAGGGCTTGGGAGTAGTCACCCTTGGCCTGGAGGTCGCGGGCAAGGTCGAGCAAGCGGATGGCGTCGGAGACGCGGCGGGAGACGACGGCGCTCGCCTCCCTCTCGCGGTCCGTGACGGGGTCGAAGGACGGGCCGGCGGCGACCGAGTTCCGACAATCGAGGAGGGAGGCGGCGGCGGCGGAGAGCAGGAGGCTTCTCCTCTTCCAACCGGGTCCGGATTCGAGGGTCCCGGAGCTGTGGCGAAGACGGGAGATCGACAAGAGAATAGACGGGGCTTTGGTGGCCATGGCTCCTACGGCAGAGACATGGATCGAATGACCGACCGCAAGCAGCATCGAAGCTCCTGCGATGCCGATCAAATCATGTGATTTTTGTTCACCATCGAGAAAGGCTCTCGTGGCCATCCATCACTGATCGACCGTCACCAACCCGATTCGGCCATTTTTACCACCTTATCCGGGGAAACGGTGGCCGAGATCTTTTGTGTGCATCAATCAACACCGGACAATGGGACAATGAATGCCCCATCTGGTCTGTGATTCCTCCTCCTCCTCCTCCTCCAGGACTCATCCTTGGTTGAAATAAAAGAGCTCCAATGCAAATTTGGCTCCTCCATGCTATGCCGGTTTCTTGCAGATACAATATCGATACCAAAAACAAAAAAGAAAGGAAGAAATTTTAGCCTAGTCACTGCACAACATCCTCAACACTAAATAATGCGTCAACTACCGGGATAAAGAAAAAAGGAGTAAACCAAATTCATCCAAAACATGGATTTTAGCTTCCAAATTTGATGAGATAGTCTCCACTGTGGATTTGATCAAACCGTACAATGAGGAATTTGAAAGGAGGATTAAGAGGATATATGTGTACGCAGAACACTTTAATACTACTTCATATTTGCAAATTACCATCAAGGTATATCTTGACAAGTTACCAATAGAAAGGTTTCGCCATCTCTCAAGGTTTTAACCCCCACCACCCCCAGTCGAAAACCGCTTTAGAGTATCAACCGACAAAAGTCAAGAACACAATATACTGGTGTACAAACAAACAGAGATGAGAACTTGTACAAGGTATTTAAAAACTGTATCCCAAAAATCTGCCGCAAGCATCAGGGATGTGATGCTAACAAGGAATTGCAGATTGAACAAGTGCTGGTAACACGAGAAATGACAACCACCCAGAGAAAGCACAGACGAGAAGCTACTTGTCCATCGCTTGCCACCTTCCTTCTGGACTCCGTGAAGAAAAAAAATAAATCTAATCTTGCAACCTCAACTTGTCATCTTGGATTTAGTCACATGAGGCTAACAAGTGGAGCAATTTGTAATCCTTAATGGCCCTGATATCATCTTCTGTACAGTCACTGACTTCTACAATTTCTATCTTCATGATGCTACTTCACTATCTACAACAAAGCACGAATTCAGCTTTCACTCTAACCCAAAACAATATTGCCAGAGCATTTTGGCCATCTTAAGTTTCCATACTGCAGCTGGACTGACCTAGACACTTTCTTTTCCCATGATAATGGCACTGAAACTTTCTTAATCTTCCTTGAGGTAGTCACCAAGACGTAAGAAGTGATGAGCTACAACAGTTAGCCTGAGGTGAGCTTCATACGCTTCGTTTGCTTTAGCATGTTTCCCAAGATTTTCTTTCCAGCAGGAGAAACTGCAAGTTGTAATACGATTTCGCCTCACAGTATTCCATTAAGTACTCGCTGGTAGTAATCATATTGCCTTGTTCGCCATGCATCTAAGCTGCTACTGATCAAGGAAAGCACCAAGGAGACACATTGCTGCTTGAACATTAGGCAATATAGTCAGAAAATGTCCAGAGACTGGATTGAGAAAGCAGGTAGAATTTTTGGATTCAGACCTCTTCTGTAAGACTTAGATGGAACCTCTTCCTCAAATTTTGTATTGTCCGAATTCCGCCTTTAAAGCAAGGGAATCCAGAGTCCTGCAATCAGTGTGAGACAAACATGTATTGTAATAAAAATTTCTGGCATTGTGCTCGACAGTATAAATTCAATCATCTAAAAGAGTTCACAACATATTCATCTATACAGCAATACGATCCACACTCGATTTCATAATCAATATGTAATCTTACAGTATTAAGAAATGTTCACTTGAATCATATGAGCTAGCAATCCTATTCTTTGCATCCAATTTCAGTATTTTCTATTAACAGTGTTTAAAGATGAGTTTCACTTATAGATAAAACTATAAGGTCCATGCTTGGTGATGCATGCACAAATTGGACAGATGTGGTTTTCTTCTAAACATCCTATTCACAAAAATCTTTCCATGCTTGATTTTTTTAAGTCGAGTCAACAATAAACTGTATAACTTAAATACTTCAGATTCACTATTTGTCAATGGAATACAAACATGGAAAAGTTTTTTTTGTTTCATATTATAACAATTATCAGAATAACTACCAAGAAAACCTTTATTAAAATGGCTGGTTTCAGGAGAATAAGGAATCCGACATCTTCATATGTTTGGCACCAAGCTCTAACACCCACAATCCATTGTTGAAGATCAAATCAGATAAACATCATTTCTCATGCAAGATAAATAACTCTATCCATATGAGCAAAGACATTTCAGAAACCATAAAAGGACACTTGAACAAGAAACTTATGAAAATAATGGTGTATCTCACAAAACATAATTAATAATGTCAAAAATGCCTTCGTTCACTAAGACCTTTGTCCTTTCTTAAGCTGAAAAAACACAAAAAATTGAACATCTTCTTCATGCAGAACCACAACATATGAATGGGCAAACTGAAGTATTAAAGAGAGCTTATGGAAAAAAAGCAATGAAAAGAAAGAAAAAGAGAAGCCTATTAAAAAAGTGAAAGAACGCGGAAATGAAAGAGAGCTTATGGAAAAAGAAGTCGAAGCATAAGACTGCCACCATATGCGGGATCTTAATGGTCAATGTCCTTCAACTAAAAAAACATTTAAGCAAAATGTACAACAATGGTAGCAAACTTATTTACCTGCAGCATCTCAACAAGAAGTATTATACGTTCTGCATGCTTACGGCAAGTAAGAAAACCTTGAATGCACAGAACCTGAACAAGTCATGTAAACAGTAAATGACAACTACAGTTGCACCAGAGGCCAGTATCAAAAAAGACTTAAAGTTTATCACCTTAAAATAGTCAAAGAACTCGCTTGGAGTTCCTTCTGCATCGGAGTCCATTACCTAGTAGTAAAGCATCATATACATGTAAGAGAACTGTACATCATACACCTAGCAGTAAAGCATCATCGGACTCCTGCATTGGAGTCTATTACCTAGCAGTAAAGATATCCTATAATAAAGCAATTTCACTTATCTAACCTCAAGAAGCTCCCGAGTCAACTTAAAGGGAGCACTTTCAAAATTCACACCACCAGGAGAATTAGAAAGCATGAAACCAAAATCAATATGAATGATATGCCCTTCTTCATCCAATAAAATGTTTCCATTGTGTCTATCCTTCACCTGGAGAATCAAAGGTAATAAAGATAATTCAACCAATTTTAAAGGAAAGCAATGAGAAGTAGAGATTACAACTTAAGTATCAAAGCTGATAAGGACGTTTGTAGTCATTAAACAACTGTTCAACAAATAATTAATGAAATGAAAGGTTTAACATTATTTATGTCCATCTACAGAAAAGTCCAAAATCATCAAAACAAAACAATCCAAAAGGTGAAAATAAGATGAACTTTTACATTAACTTGAAATATAAATTCAAGCTAAGGAAAAAAATAGTAACATCAAATATTTGAGTCAGCAGAACAATGAAATTTCTATATCCAATAGCATGAATTCAAGTTTCAGGTGAAAAATATGGTTTCTGCCTAAATTTGTTTTGTGGTGGTTGTTGGAACTGTTTGGAGTGCAGGCCTATGGGGCCCCTTTCAGTGTACTTCGTGCAGATGAGGCCCATGACTTAATTATAGTTTGTTTTGGTCCATAGTCAGTCTTTTAGCAGCTACATGATCTTGATTTAAAGGGAGCCATGGGTATACTCAACCTCAAGGTTTAGTGACAACACCACTGCACCAAGGTTGTGTGTGAGAGAGAGAGAATGAGGGTTAGTGACAACACCACTCCATCAAGGTTGTGTGTGTGTGTGTGTGTGAGAGAGAGAGAGAGAGAGAGAGAGAGAGCCTTGTCAGACTTTTCCATGCCTCACTTGGCTAGAGAAGGAAAAGTTCCAGGACTTCCAGGGAAAGTAATGGACAGCTTGCCAAAATGAAGTTGGTGCCTTAGATGGTGGACTCATCTCAATGCAGGCCCATGGGTGCAGCCTCTCCACATCTTAGACCTATCATTGTTCTGATGAGCACTTTTGTGGAGGACCAAGGGCCATTAAAATGCCATTCTGTTTCATTCATGACAAATCCAAGATGGACTGTGCTTCATATGTCCAAGGTTAATTGACTACCCTTCTTCATTGGACTGACTGCCCTTGTTTGTCATAGTCCTAATTAATTCAGCCTGTTTTGCCTAACCAGGTGCATATAATGATAACATACAGGTGTTTTACATAGATAATTGAGACCATTAAACAGTCCTAAAATTTAAATCAGTCAGCAAACACCCTCTCAAGGAAAAAAAAGTCAGATAACATTGTTCCACTTTCTCCAACTGATCTAGGAAAGCTCACCTAGTTTCATGCATAAAAAGGAAGCTATTAAGTGTAAGGAAGAAAAGAAAGATAAAAATGTCATGAAAATACGATGTTAAACATAACAAATAATGCTACAAAAAGGCCTTCTATACTAGACATTCTTCTCTCTTTCTTCTACTTCCAGCTTAAATCTCCCTTGGACTTCAGAGCTTTTAAAGACGGTCATTAGTTCATGAGCTCTTCTTTCGACAGAGAAAGATGGGATCTTTCAGGAGCTCAGAAGCAAACTGGCTTCCTGAGGCTTAAGTTATTTAAGCAAACCACTAGACTGTGGTTATTAAATCAAAACTGCAACAACTGCAAAAGGACTTGAAATTTATCCATTGGTTCTGAACCAAAGATCAAGCAATCAAAATGATGAAAATAGTACCTGAAGCAAGTAGCATAATATGGAATATCCCGCCATGCTCTCAACAAAATTCCTCTGTTGAACCAAACAAATAAGAAGACCATGTTAAATTCCATTTTACATAAAAGAAAGAAAATCAACACCAAATGGCATATTAAAGAAAGCATACCAAGTAACTGCATATCTATGCTAAAAAATGATTGAAAAGAATTCTAAACAAAATTTATTTATAGCAAAAGCAGGAAGTACCATGCCAGGCAGGAAAGGTCCATTTGAGTACCGATGAGTAAAATCAATAAGAGACTCTTAATCTCTTATGTTGCATTAACTTTTAGTCCTAGTGGACCTTACCACATCCAATTATGTTTTATTAATGAGAAACAAAAAGGTATACAGAAGGGATGCAAGCATAATGAAGACCATGCAAAGACAATAAATGAATGTGGCAATTCTCTGTGGAAAAGAAAAGCTCACATGCAGAAACCAAAATGGATATTATGCCAGACATAAATAAACCTTAAGATCTTAATTTGAATTTCATGAAATTTTGAGACAACAAATGATGTAGAAGCAACATACAGTGATTGTATATTCCACACACACCACAATGTCCAACGGGAGAAAGAACTCGGTAACAATTCAATATAGTTAAGAAACACCCTCATTTCAAGTTCCTCATTTTACTAAGTCCACTATGCTTCTAAAAATATCTATGGGTTGAGCAACCTTGGGCAGATACCTATAAACCTAAAAACACACCTTACATGTAAATTAAATATTTCACAGCACAAATTACATATTAATATGATTTGTAATTGATGTTCCAGTACCCACATTATTTATAGGAACAAGCTTATCTGAGTAAAAGAAACAATAAATAAGGAAATGGAACAAATTTCTTATTTGAAAGATGTGGGTTAACATAAGTTAATGGTCAAAAGAACCAAAATCAGTAAATCATTTTAGAGAATTCAGGTGCTGTTTCAGTACATAAATGAATACCAAACGAATGCTATTAAAAGACAAGCTTAATGCATCTAAGTTTATCAAACGTCAACCTGGGCAAGCTTAAAGTTTGGAGAATTTTCTTCATATTTGGCCACAAAATAATCACGCAAACTTGAGATATTTGGGAACCTACTCTTTATTGAATGTATTGATGCCTGCAAAAGGAAAATGCTGTTAAGACGATGACATAATATACCAGCAGAAAGAAACACACAAGTTCCTACTAGGGAGAAGAATCACCGTATCAGGTATAGTCTCAATTAGGGCTGTATAAGAAGAAGTAACTAGAACTTCATAAGGTCTTAACCACAGTGGAAGGCCAGCCTCTTGGTATATGTCTGACATTAGCAACACAGTAAGAACTCTCCAGTAAAAAATCACATGTACTAAATGAAATGACAACAAGATTTCTTTCACAAACATTTATTACACATTTCTTGCTTCTTTGAGAAGTTGTCTTACTAACCAGTTTCCTACACTTAGAAACTTTAGTTAACAAAACCTCATAGAACCAATCAAAAACTCTGAAGCACAGATACAGATACAAAATACTGATAACTAATAAATTTAATACACCTACATAATAAAAATTAAAAGTAGGATCTGGTAAAGCAGTGTGCAGCAACTAAAAAATAGCTTAAATGTATAAATATCATATATGACAAAGCTTGACAACATCATAATTTTAGAAAAATGTTACATATCATGATAAACAACAAAAATGTACTCAACTCTCTTCCTCCTCACCTAATCATCATAGATGATAATATGATCAGCGATGTAAAATTATCATTTTAATTTTTACAGTTTTAATCTAATACTTGATACACAAAAAAGTAAGCAATCTACATAAGTGTTTATCCATCTCATCCAAATAAAAAAATAACAACCAAGAATTAATTTTTTCCCAAAGTTGTTCACAAAGCATTCCCTAAGAAATATTAGGCCCAATATAAACCATGGAAGTAAGAAATTAATTTCTCAGGTTTGTCTTTTCTAAAGTATTTTAATATTATGACCCGGCCTGATAAAATAATTAACTCATTAACTTGATAGGCCTAAACCATTGATCCAAAATACCTAGGCCCAAGCTAATGGCAGTACACATACTTATTCAAATTTCTTCCCACATAAGATGGGCAAAATTGAGGTGTCCCAATTTCCCTCACTTAATGCTTGGCATCCATATCAAAACTCAAATCATAGCCTTGCATCATAATCTAAAATAGTGCACACGCAATCCAATCTAGTGGTGGCTCCATGCCTTCTTCTGGTCCATTCACCGATAGTGTTTTCCTACTCAAGTCCTTTGTTGTATCCTATTCCAAGTATGATATCATTTGTTGTGGGATAACTGATTCGTTGCCTTGATAGTCTTAAAATATTAGCCAAAAATACTTAAATCAAAGTTAATGATGGGCTCATTTAGCTCTATATACTATTCGAATCTTTTCCCATATCTGATGTAGAACTAACTAGGGTGTTAAATTGATTTTTAATTCTAAGGTTGGTTATTATAGACCTTGAACACATTTTGAACTTTACTACAAAACCATTTTAACACTAGAAGTGATTGTACTCATTCCTAAGATGTCAATTTTGGGCAGTAAAACTGCTCTAAATATCACAACAGTATAATAATTTTATAATTATTTATGAATCGGATAGTTTGAGGAGTATCTAATATGTATAAATACGGATATGACAAGGAATTTGAAGTACTCATGTTATATGTACTCAAAATAAAGCATTTTACTCTTGTGCAGTTACAAGCTGCACAAATTAGATGAAAAATGGGTTCTGAACACATTGGAATCGAGAACAAGAAAGGAACAGAAGTTACAAATAAGTCCTTTAGGTGCTCAAATGGCAAAATAAAGACAGGTTTCTAAAATCAAATTGAACTTTATTTTAATAACAAATATCTCCTGATTCTTTTAATAGTTATACAGGTACAAATACGGGAAGGCCAAAGCTCATCCCTGCTAATACTTTTGTATGCAGTGCCACCATGCAGTACAGGCAGAATTCTTCTCCAATGTCAAACTTAGCTCAGACAACAATACATAACCAAAAGCTCATACATATTTTGAGCATAAAGACAAATTCTTTATCATTTCCTTGGTGGTCCTTATCCATTTAATGAGTACCATATATAACCTTGAACATTTTACAAAAGAATGAATAGATAATCAAAGAAAGCAAGTTTTTCCCTTTGCAGTTTATTAGCATCCTACTTCGAGAAGCTTGGACACGTGTTACCCATGATTGTTCATAGGAGCAAAAAACTAAATGTTCAAAAAGAAAACTAGATATGTTGCAAACATTCATGATATCAGAAAAAATAGAGCAACTAGAATAACCATCAGTTAAAAATAATTGAAAAGGCATGATTAACTACCATAGAAATGTGAAACTAGTTGTACAGCTAGATGCTCCTGTCTGCAATCATCCCCACTCTTCACAATGATCTGTTCTTTAGAAAGGAAATGACTTAGGCATGAAAAGTGAGTTACTAATGTATAATTTGACGTAAGAAATTAAGTATTTCATCAAAATAAAAGTAAACGAAGGGAAACCTATTAAATCATAAGCATTTTGCAACCATAATTTGGAATCAGAAGTTCAACCAGTAGTGGCTAAAGCAAAAGCAATTTGCAAAATTTTAGAGGTAAATCCAATTGCCAATGCTCTTAGCTGCTTGTTTTTGCAAGAAAAGGTGATGACAATGTTCGAGGCACTGAAAAAGGCAATGATATCAGATGCCTCAGATACCAAAATAGGAGCCACATGATGCAGGATGGACATCCTATTGCCTACTTTAGGAATAACAGGGGAATAATAGATTATCATGTCTGAGACAAAGAGCTTTCGGTAGAGATCTTGTGGTACAAACATGAAGATCATACTTACTAGGACACTGAGTGATGATCTGAACTGATCATAACCATCTTAAATACATCTCGGACCAAGTGTAGCAACACCAGCACAGCACAATGGTTATCAAAATTGTTCAGCTATGATTAAGAGATTTTAAGTACCATGATAGGATCAAGCATTCAACTATAGATGCAGGATCATGAGTGTTCCTAGGAAGGTTGAGCTGCACTCTTATACAATTCCATCTTCTCCACCTTTCCCTTGCTTGGTGGTATTTAGTGGCTGGTTACAGCGTGGATCCTTAACATTTTTTAGCATCTGTAGTAGTTGCAGAGTGATCCATCAGCCTTCTGTGCCTTGGCAGGTTATCCCAGCTACGAGATCAGATTTGTTCTGGCACATTTTCATGAAAGACCAGTGGAAGCATATGGAGACAACTTGAAGACTTGCAAGTGGCTACATTTAATCTTCTACTTGCCCAGAGCACAGAAGGATGTATGCAGATATGATTCACATAGCAATAGATGTGAGTGGAAAAAGTATGAAGCAATCAAGCCTATCAGACTACTACAGGCGCCCCTTATTTTTAAGACAATTTTGGAAATATTGGCATGGATTCCATAGATCATCCATGTGTTACATAAGTGCATGAATGTGATGATGGACCTCCCAACAAAGCATGCACTACCTAGTTGCTCTATCAGACCCATATACCTAGTATGAAGCAATAAAGCATAACCTAGTGCATTAATGTGATGACAGACAGAAAAAACACACTAAACTGTGATGTAGAGACTTAATTGAGGTGCTAGACTAGCATGGAGCATAGAGGTGATCATTGTTCTTATCAATGCAAATGGTCTCATAACACCTCATACAATTTTGTGAATGACATGACCTTAAACAAGGTCTTGTATGGTTGACCTTCACCCTCTAATCCTATTTATATAGCTAGTTCTGCAGTAGTGTTCTATTGACACAGAGTTGCGAGAAGTAGGATGAGTAACTGAAGCTCATAAGAAAAATATAATTATAGACCAATGTAGGAGTAAGCAAGTCTAAGATAAGAGCATAAGAATAATGATTTCTCAGCTAGTGACAGTTTCAATTTGGCTGCCACATCATCTACAGTCTACAGAGAGGCCTAGTACCTATATAAAGTTTTCTCAATAAATATTATGGATCTTTGAAGTATTAGAGCATATTGTATTGACTATACATACATATATATATGTGTGTGTGTGTGTGTGTGTGTGTGTGTCAGTTGAGACTTCCACCTGACACGTGCATCTGTGACACCTTCCATGTTATGGAGGCAAGCCCAAATCTTCACTGTTTTGCCTTCAGTTCATTAGAGTTTGGCATCATCTTGTTGATCACTGACAAGGACAAGTTGTGAAAGATTGTAATCTGAACATCTAGTTCACTAATAGTAATGGACAACGGGAAGTTGTTACAATGTTCTCAATTTCCTTCCTGCTCTTCCCTTTTTCCTTCTCTTGACGGTTGCAGGACAGTGGAGAAACAATAACAAATTGGTAGCACCACCAAAATAATGACATCACAGTAACACAGACCCATCTTTTGGACAATGTTCCCTATTTTTTCAGCAATAAACACTGCTTTTCCATATTAGTTTTCCTTCTGAGAGGCTTCTTACCTTCAAATCGAGCTAGAGAAGCACTAATTAAGGGTTGCAATCCGAAACAAAAGGAAAGCGCAAAAGTAGAAATAAACCCAACAAAAGGCTTCTCATCAAAGCATGGACTGCCATCTCCCATGACACTACCTGCATTTTTTTCCTTTTCATTCTCCCTATCCTTCCTCTTCTATTCTTTTTTTGTCATCAGTAAATACCAGCATGCATTACCAGTCTGACCAGCAATTGGTGTGGTGTGGGTGAAAATTAGAGTCAGAAATTAACAAAACAGAAGAACTGAAGTCCTAAAAGATGGTAAGTACATAAGTCACATGATAAAATGGTATCAAGACTAAACTCAACTGTCAGGACAACTTTGGAACAAAAGCAATTGTTTTACACTGGCTCTAATATCTGCATAGTGAATGCATCATCCACTCATCATAAGGTCATGACTATGACTATGACATGATTTATGATTAATGATCCTCTCTAAGAAAAAGAGGTATCCAAGTAAGGTTCCAAATTCTTTAGCATTCATCCTTTTAGGTTCACTTTAATATTTTTCACATTTTCTACCCTGAATCACGTCTCAAGTCCTTCCCAAAATCATTTCAAACAAAAAAAAGATGAACCCTATCCATGAGGCACCTGCGCCCTACCAATGCAGGGTCTGGAAGAGTCAATATATCCTATAAGTTGTTTTCATAACCGAGATCCTTGTTCCCAGGTCGTAAAGAAACAACCTTGCTGTTGTACCAAAGCTCATCCTCAAAATCATTTTGGACACTCACATGAAAACTCAAGAATATATGGATTTAGGAGTCCTGTAATAAAAAGTGATACAAGAATAATATATGATGCTACTTATCAATAAAATGTATCCATAGTGGATGGGTTTACTCATTAAAAAACAAAAGTACATATTAGTAGGCTCTTAAATTTTACCTCCAAAATATAATAGCAGTTTCATTGTTTCATCCAAGGATTTTAATTTCGAATAATACTGCCCATAGCAGGCAGTACATACCAGTCCACCAGCAGACTGGTAGATGAACCGTCCGCTAATGGGCGGTATTGTCGATTGGGGCTGTTTTCGGCCTGTTACTGTTCTAAATTGGTCATCACTGCTCGCTACTGGGTGGTATTAACCGGGGGAGAAGAAGAGAACTTGGAGATCGACGCCGCTCTCCCTCCTCGTCTGAGGCGACGAGGCCTCGGCGTTGTCGACGACTTCTCCTCATCCGTGCGGGGAGAAGAATCCTCGGCGTCACGGGGAGAAGAAACCGAGCGTCAAGGCAGCGTTTCTTCTCCCCACGAAAGCAGAAGAAACGAGGCAACGAGGCGATGTGGCCGCCTTGTCGCCCTTTTTTGCGCGGGGAGAAGAAATGGTTTCTTCTCCCTTTTCCACGCGGGCCGAAAAGAGGTGACGTCGCAGGCAGAAAACGATCTTTTTTTTTAACTTTATATATATATAGATATATATACATATATATATATGTGTGCATATATGTATATATATATGTATATATGTATATATATATATATATACATATATATATATATACACATATATAAAGAGGCGAAACCTCGGTTTCTACTCCCCACGCGCCAAAAAGGGCGACGAGCCAATCGCCCTTTTTTTTAACTTATATATATATATATATATATATATATATTATATATAT